TGCAGGACTAAAAGCACAAACATCTACTGCTTGTGCAAAGGGGCAAAACCAACCATCAGAGGAGCCTTACGTTAGTGACACACCATCCCAGGATCCCATCACCGGGTCCAATGAGACAGAGGCCATCATTTCTCCTAGAAGACATTTTGTCACATGCTATTGTAACCTGGGGAACCCAACACTTGTAGGTGTCGAGCAAAGCACACGGCTTTCTTGCCAGCAGCAGGGTCTACTGGTAAGACTACTCTGTATCTACAAAAAGGGTATCTCAGGCTTCCTCATATAAGTAGAAACTTATTAAATCACAGATTTTAATTCGCTTCAGCTGCAATTCACCACTGTATATAATTCTAAGACAGTGGGTTTATGGAAATGACTGTTAACACGAGGAGAATTAATTTGTTACTGCCCTGAGAAGAACACAGTCATAAACCGAAAACAAAGTATGGTTCTAGTCTGTACTTAGTATCTCTGTTACTTATTTTCAAAAGGATCAGTGAAGGATCCAAATAGAGGAGGAGGAGGAGGCAGGGATGAAGAAAAGCATTTGGAAACTTCACTTCTATGAAATGTTTTGCTGAGAGCTGGCTTGCACCCACGAGCACCCCCAGTGACCGTGTTTGCAGAACTAGACAGTGTTGCTATAGATGAAGGTTTCAAGGCACTCAAACTCTTGAACTGTGGCTTGACATTAAATTCAATGCTCCCTGTGGCAGACCAAAACCACAGTGAATAGAGGAGTTAAACCACTGATCTGTCCTAAAAGCCTTGCACCCATTCCTGTTTGTTTGAAAAAATTTGCTGGGTTATGCTTGTGCCCGCAGAACATGTGCTGGCTTACATCGTATCTGCCTACGCTGCTACTCTGAAACCTCAACACCTAACTCCTCCAGGAGCTTTTCCATGAGTTTCTTCAACATGCAGCACCATGACACACCATGTAGCTGCTTTGCAGCCTGGATCCTGAGACCTCCCGCAGCAGCAGGCTGAGGGCCTGGCCCCACAGACAGCCGAAGCCACAAGAGGACTGCTGCTGCTCCAGGACCTGCCCCATGCTGGGAGGCCTGACCACACTGCTTCAGCCAGCAATTCTTCCCTGCAGCATGTGGATCTCTGCCATGTGTACGGGCAGATTTCTTCAGCCTTTCATGTGTGCCTTTTGCTGAGATGAAGGCTGGCATCAGCGTGGAGGAAGCCGCAGGACGCTCTGGTTGGCCCAAGGCAAGCCAGAGCCTCCCTGGGGCAGGTCAGACGGGTGAAGGCTGGCGTGGACAGCCCCGCTCCACCACCGTGAGGCAGCTCTCCCCCTGTGGCCCACATGGACCTCCAGGCTCCTTGCTTATCCTCTTCCCTCCTGCACACTCGAGGCTGGTACCCCAGACTGCCAAAGCCCCCCAGGGAGCAGCTTTTACGGTTTAAACACAACAAATGTATAGCAACAGTAATTTATTTAGCGCTGAAACATTCAGAGCAGGGAAACCACACACCACCTACCTCCTTCCCCCAGCCAGCCAGCCAGCCAGCCATTGCTCAGGAAAACTTGTGAAGTGGGCTTTAAAACTAAATCGCAGCTCCACATAGCAATATAGCATCTGCCAAGTGATTTCCAGACAGCTTTTCCACTGGCCCTCTCTTGGTTGCTTCTCCAAGGGCACTGTGCTGTGGTTTACTGCAGCACAGAGCAGCCTTGCCTTCCCTTGGCTTTTGCTGTCTTATGCTGACACATAGCACATCGTCACTTAGTTGACCAGAGGAGTGGTGGAAGGAAGACCAGCAGGGCCTTTCTGCCATCACTGCGCCCCCTGCTCAGCCAACATGGGGAAATATTAACTTCTTACCTTGTGCCTATATCCGTGAGGTACCTGAAAAAACTATCATCTGGCAACCATTTCTTTTACTCCCAATCTCCTATTCCTCTAAAAAGCCAGCCTCAAGGGAATGACACTTACTGATGTCTCAGTCCTCCAGAAGCAGCACTGTGCAGAAAAAACCCAAAACATACCAAAACTAGATACAAGGGGACCGATGATCACTTTCCTTTTTCTGCACAGGGTACCTGTGAGCAGGAAATAGCCACAAGCCACAGCGGGAGCATGCACACACTTCGGTGAAGAAAGGAGCAAGAGGATGCTGCTGTCCTGCTGGTGCAGAGCATGCCCAGGTAGCCAGACCCATCCAAGCGGTTCAACCACCCCTGAGCTCACATATTGGCTATGTGCCACTTCGTGTTGCTGAAGCCACAGGATCTGTCCATCAGGAACACACAGCACAAGAAGCCTCTTGATTGCTGCTGAAATCTCCTGAATCACTTCATTATCCATCATCTTCTCATGCCCACCTAGGCTGGCAAAAGAGGGAGCCTGTGACAGCCAGATGGCAAATAAGGAGGGACTCACACTTTCTTTCTCCAGCAAGAGGGGAAAAAAAACCCCAAGTGATCTTAATGCAGATCTAAACAGATGTCTCCTCCCAAATTTCAACCCACTTGCAGTCCTCTGAAGTCTGCTGCCACCATTTGTCACTGTTCTCTACTGTCACAGGGCATGGGACGGGTGAGAAGAGCCAGTATGTTCAAGCTGAGCAGTCTAACCAAATTATCTCTGTTGTGTGCGACCTGCTGACTATGAGTTTGGTAAGAGGATTGTTCATCCCCAGTACTCATACCCTTAGTGTTGGGGGGGAAGAAATCAGCTATAAAAGTGCTGTCCAGGAGAAGACCCATGCTGTCATGACTGCCCATGCAGGAGACCAGAAATAAATAACCACCCATGATGCCCAGGAAGCACTTCTACTCAAATATGGCAACAACCAACTTTGAAGGCAAAATGCAGGACTGCCACAGGTCTGCCCCTGAAAAAAACCTGTTATGCAACAGAGCTGCCATCCAGCCACCCACAAGGAAAACAAACGGCAATTCAGATGGGAGATACTTGTTAGCAGGCCCATTGCTTGTGATGGCACAACAACCATCAAAGCGGGTGTCATCTGCCCTGCCAGGTGATCTCACCACGAACAGATTCTGCATACCAGCGTGTCAGCAGCCTTCTTCAAAGGAAATCCAGTACTAAGTAGCTTACAGAAATTTTCTACAAGAGGCTAAAGAGCTATTTGACCCCTAGAATGTAACCAAAAGAGGTACAATTCCTGCCATTTGTGTGTTCCGCCCCCAGATAGGAAGATATTATTATCAAATAAGTTATTGAAAAACTAGTTTCTCAAATAAAACTCAGGAGAGGGAGAGATGATAAAAGGTTTAAAGACAAGTATACATATCCACATGTCCATATGCATATACACACATATATATACTTTCACTGTAGTTCTGTGCGTGGAATGAAGTGCTAAGTGATAGAGAACCACAGTTTCGAAAAATTGTGGGACCTCACCAATCTCTGTTACTGCTCTAAGGTAGTTATAAACTTAGTTGGAATGCATCCTCTGGGCAATGGGAAAACTGTATTACCTCTAGCAGGATGACCACATGAGAAATGGCTCTGAACTTAGCAATCATATAGAATGCATAATCTGCAAAACTGGTTGCACGGGGTTTGGAGTGGATTATATTCTACCTGACAGATCAAGAAAGTTAATAATCAAATTGCAGTTTCACAGAGGAAAACCTGGTACAGCTGACAGCTATCTAAACATGAGACATAGAACATATTTGCACTATGTTAAAACAGTGTAGTGAGATTTCCCTCAATACAAAAAGTAAATGAAGGCACAAAAAAAACAAAGAAGAAAAAATTGGAAATAGTTTATTTGCTGCATAAGGAAACTTCTTGTAAATTACATATAAAGAAACTTACTATGCTGTAGTATATAATTTTCAATATTCCACAAAGATAATAGTAATAAATATACAAACCAAAACAAAGTAGAAGACTAAATCCATCAGGCAACCTACAAAATGGTTCATCAAGTTTTATACTTCGCAGCATTAGCATGCTTAAAATCTTGTTGTTCATTTTGAAGTGCTGCAGAAAAATTCTTTTCACATTTCTTTGGAGCATTTTCAAAACCACCTAGCTATAAAATACTGTTCAAAATTAGCAGGCATTAGTTAAACCACCCGAGAAAAGTAACACCAAGGTCTAACTGATGCAAAGGTGTAATTTTTCTTTTTGCTTTTAAAATCCATTTCAGTTTTGCCAGGGTTAGGAATTATCTGACAGAAGTGCACTATGAGTCCAGTCAGCCTGAGGCACTGCTGACTCTTGTCATATTATGACTCTATATAAACTTCATAGATTATATAGCTCTGGAAGATTTCTCTATTAGAGACATACCCACTAATAAGAATAAAACAAATACCATAGTGAAGCTGCAAGCTAGTTAGAATGGTTGTACCCTCAAGTGCAGTGCGTGCTTAGAAACATTTTTCCATAGTTTCATACTATACCACATCAGGCATTTTTATTTGACTTTAAATTTAAAAGTGCTGACAAAGGCTTTACTGATGCCCCTAGTCTCTAGAAACAACACGTAGAAATTTTCGACACTTTTTGCTGTTCTCTACCTATCATTTCTACATTTTTTGAAACAGCAGGCTGAATTGCATTTTACACTTCACTGCTTTGGACCACACTGACAGACAGGTCTATTATTCCATACAGATCTTTTATAAGCTGAAACCACATCACTGTGCTTCACTATTACTCAATACTTGGGGGTATAAAAAGAAATTCTCTAAAACACGATTACCTAAAAATATTTGTTAATAAGCTTAATGCAAACATTATGTAGAAAAAATGGTTTAGTTACAAAAAAATTCAGTAGAGGGTCAATAAAAATATACTGAAGAGAAGATCTTTACAAAAGTGAGGTTAGGAAGTATGAGGCATTGACATTCACTGTAAACATCCTGTGTTCACTAGAATCCCTTGTCTAAAGTGTATGTTCTGGTTTTGTTCCTGAGCTTCATGGCCAACACTTGCATAGATAGCTAAACCTGTCACAAAGCGTTGTTTATACAGATGTTTCTGTACTGCTTTGTACAGAACTTCAATAAACTAATGATTTTACCTTTTGAAATAGTTTCATTCCACTACCAGGCAGTTCAAGGAAACTATGAAGCATGGTATGATTTTTGTGTACTCAGTGCATTGGATGGGTTGAGATAGCTACCTTATGGTGTGTTAATCTTAAATAATATTACACTAAGAAGTGTAGCTGTTTGATGTTCTGGCTTACCATAAATACCTACTTCTGCTCACTGCCACAAGGCTCACTTCTGCTCTGCCAAAGACTGCATATGGCAAAATGTCAGGAACCTGAGTGCTACAACATCAAGCAACTAAGTTAATCCCCAGTAATAAGATGCAGCTTATAAACAGTACAGAAGACCTTATGGAGAATTTCACCTTTACCCAGGCATCATGAGTGCTTTCCTCTAGATTAACCTCCCTCTATTGGAGGAAGCTAGAAAGTACTTTCAGGGTAAACATGACATGGAGTGGCCTAAGTAAAAAGCCTGAAGAACATACTTACATTTTGGATATGAAAAGCAGGCATGTGTTTAGTTACTGCATATGCAAATGCACATGGGAAGTGGTAGAAACAGACAAACAAATCCACCTCACAAACAGCACAATAACACAAAAGCAGCAAATTGCCAATTTAAAATCTTATGTTAAGGCAAATCTAGATAAACACCCAGAACAGGATTAATAAAAACGGGGAGTTTTCCTTGGCTTTTTTGTTTACTTTTTCTGTGATTGGCTTTTACACATCGATAAAATTTGTTTAAGCACTTTCTGGACATCTTCATCCATTTGACCCTAGATAAGGGGAGAACGAAGAAAAGATGATTGAATTCAAGCATCACTCTACTCTTGCAGAAGAAACACCTTTCATTAAAATACCAACACTGTGTAACTGACAATATGCAACCATACCTGCACAGCATAGAGAAGATGCATCCTGTAAACCGAAACAATTTCCTGATGTTGTTTCTTTGTTTCCTAGAAAATAGTTAAGCAGAAAGTCACAGAGCATTCAGAACTGTTGAATTCAGAACCCCCCAGCTAGATTTAGAGAGCTCTGGGGAATTACAAACCGTAGTCTTATGCATGCATGGAAAACCAGCTCAGACAGTACTGTGCCACTAGCCATCCAAAATACAATTTGCTTGGAAGCGTGGTCCACAGAAACGCTGTAATTCTACTCATCCCAGTAAAAAAGGTGGTGAGATGACGTCAGTTGTAAGAAGCGCTGAGCTGCAAAGATGTGGAATGAGCACATACTCTACTTCTGAGCTTAACAGCAACCAGAATTGAGGAAAGCCAACAATATTCTGACAAATCAACGCTCAACTGCAACTGAGCTCTTCCCTGAAGTCAATGACCCATCTGTCAGCTAACGCCTTCCCAGGGAAGAGGAGGTGCTTACAAAGGTCTTAACCCATGAAATCCTCAGTTAATTACTATACATTCAAAAAAGGAAAGCCAACCTCCTTTTTTGTGTTCACAGACTGCCACATCCCAGAAGCCATCTTTCCAAATAAATGTGAAGCTGTTAGGAAAGCTAGCCTACAAGAAGGAAAGAATGCTTCTGCCCTGTTTCAAATCCTACCCACTTTCCTAATGTGTTGCATATCTTTGCACCTTACATTACTTTGCTTGTCCTTGAACAGTGGAAGATGAAGGGTCCTTTTGGACTTGGTGGGCCGGGATAAGAAACAGTTTGGGCCTTCATCCTGACAGTATCCAGTGTTTAACTGTCTGCCTACTTATTTCTCCCCACTGCAAGGGAATTTTTCTGCCCCCTATGCGTATTGACTCTTCTTTCTCTCTGCTGGCGAAGGTAGGAAAGCAGACACCAGGTAAGCCATTTAGCATGTCAGGCTGGGAATTCTCCTTTCAGAGTTACTCCAGAGCTCTCAACAAAGGCCTCTAGTGAGCAGTACCTTCTTTTCACCCTCAGCAGTGAATTAAAATGCTCCTTTGTACAGGCAAGCTCTTGGAAATAGCAATTATGACTCTACCCAGCTTAGAAGACTGGACCTTTCATGCACAAACAAGTACAATCTTAGAAAAAATCTTTAAGCAGTTCAGAATTTCAGAGACTAAACTGTGCTTCCTATAAACAGATGGATTTGCTTGATTTGAAACTTCACGCCTTCAGTGACTATTTTCTTCCAGAAAGTCAAACTTATTTTAGTTTAAAAAACCAAGAAGACTTCAGCTGATGAATGTTCTTGAGAGAACACACAAATCCACTGCACACGAGTGATATTTTTCACAGATCAGGGTCTCAGTAGCAGGTCTGGTGACTACATTCCACTACAAGTACAGGAACTTTGCTCCACTATTGATCTGAGGAAATATATTGGGGAAAACAGCTTTCTTTAGTTAGACTGTTTCTAAAGAGCAATTTGTGACTTGCAGATTCCTAAATGTTTCAGAGAAATAGAGAAATTACAGAATTTCTTGTACTCATTGACTGTGCTCCATTTTAAATAAGGCAGAGTGAAGAATGGCACACATATCTTTGGGGAACTGGGAATAATGGTGGGTTTACAAATTACCACACTTACAGTCAGTTGGTTTTGCAACTGCTTCACTTGTTGTTGTAATACCTCCAGCTGCTGGCTTTGTCTTTTGGGGGCACTGGTCGAGTAGGAAAGCTGAGAAAGGCTGTTCAATGCTTCTTTTAATTTGCTAACTTCCTTGGACATTTCATTGATCTGGGGAGGCAAAAAATAGGTTTTCATTAAAAGCTGCAAGGCATACTGTGCTCTTGTGGGTCTCGTCTTGGCGTTATTTGTGACATATTTAAGAAGTGGGAAAAAACAAGATGTAAACTCAATGGACAAAGAGAGACATCATGTAAGCAAAGGGTTACACTGCTTCTCTATCCCCCCTTCTAGCCCAGTCAATTCAAAATGCATTCCTTATTCTGAAAGCCAGCAATTTTTACAAACAAGGATTGAATTGACCACCTTTACAAACACTGCTGCTGAACACAAGACAGAAACATACCAAACATAAACCAGCTACTCACAGCTAGCAAAATACATAGCTTTTTATAAAGAAATTTGTAGTGACAGATATGGTAGTTGCAGAGGAAAAATAGTCAAGTCATGTTAAGGTTGAGATGATATAGTAAAATCAGAATAGTGAATTTTTGCTCCTCTCTGATCTTTTGTTTTCTTGTCTCCGCCGGAACCTCTTCCTGTTGTAAATCCCACTTCTTTGACTTCAGTTGCCTGAATAGTGTGAACCCAACCTAAGCAAAACTTAAAAAAGGTAAATTGAATGGTCATGCATATCTCCACAGGGGAGGAAAACTAACTTTAAAGACAAACATACTGACTTTGATATCTGAATTTTTTTATGGGCAAATGCACTCAAAAGTTACTCCACACTGTGACACTTGACACAACATTGTCTATTAGGTCACCCATGCGCCATCCAACATGTTTTGCAGTCTGAATTCATACTATCCCTCCACTGCAGTGAATCACTAACCTTTTTATCTTTATCCTCTTCTAGTTTTGACGAGCTTTCAGAATATCTTTTCATTTCAAGCAGATCTTCTTGAGCTTGATGGTACTTTTGGTGAAGACCAGTCACTTCTCGTTCCTTCGCTTCAAGCAGAGTATGCATACCTTCTTTCTCTTCTTTCAAGTGCAAAACTTCATTTCTCAGTTGCATAGCATCTAAGGACACATTTTCCTTCTCTTGGATTACATCCTTCAGTTTGGATGACAAAACACTAACTTCACCCTCTAGTGATGACTGGAGCTTTTCATATGCAGCCTTGGGTACCATTGCTTCATTAATTGCAGCTTTTTCTTCCAGTAATTCCTTCTGTAGGTTTCTTACTTCGCTTTCCTTGTTGGTAAGCAGTCCTTTGAGGTCATTTATTTCTTCCTCCATTTCCTTTACAGTATTTCTGAGTGCATTCATCACCTGATGGTGTTCAGTAATTGGCAAAGAGTTTTGTTTCTGAGTGTCTAACAGTTGCTTTAGTTCTTCTGCTTCACCTAATACTTTTGTGTACTGGGATTTCATTTCTGATAACTCATTCTCTGCTTTGTATTTCAAAGAACTTGTTACCTGCATCAGTTTCTCATGTTCATCTCTAGGAATGTACTCCAAAGCTATATCATCTAGAGTTTTTCTCTTCCTATAGTCTTCAAGCTCTGTCTGTGCTTCTTTGTACAACTGAGACAATTCACTAAGTTGTCTGTTGAGCTCATCTATCATTCTGTGCATAGCATCTTTCATTTCTCCAGCTTCAGCACTAGATTCTAGCTGTGTCTGATTTGTCAGCTTGTCCTGTAGCCTTTTAATTTCCTCTTGCCCTTCTTTGTACCTCTCAATCAACAATGCTTTCTCTTGATTAATGTTATCAATCACTGAACAATATGAATTCTTCATTTCCTCACACTCTTCCACAGACAATTTGCTTGCCACATTCTGCTCTCTTTCTTCAAACTTTTTCTGTATCTCTCTCACTTTCTCTTTTTGTCTTTCACTTTCCTCCAATGCTCTCTTCAATTCTTGCTTAAGCATTTCAACTTCTCCACATGTAACCTTCAACCTACTCAGATCAGAACTGGTTTCTTCACTTTCAGAGGAAACAAGACCCAGCTTCATTTGCCTTTGTACATTCAAAACCTCTTTCACAGCTTCCTCACACCTGTTTTGAGTTTCTTGGAACTTCAGGTTAAGATCAGAATCATTTTCTGAAATATCTGTGTCATTTAAATGATCTGTTTCTGGGACTCTAGACTGGACCTGAGCCTCTATGTGCTTTCTTTTGGCTTCAGAATTCTCTAATTTCCTCTGCACATCCTTTAAGTCTTCCTGGAGGTACTTCATTTTTACTTCACTGGGACTTGACAACTTTTCTTGAATTTGGGTGGCATTTGATGTAGATTTCAGCTCCTGAGCCAAGAACTCATTTTGTCTATCTGCTGTTTGCTCAAACTCTGTTTGGGTTGAATGATAAGATTCTACGGTTGAATCCACTTCTTTAGGTGTTCTTTCCTGTGCAAAAAGAAACCCGAACAACTGCACAATAAAAACAAGTACATGATTGTATTTTTTAGAATAGAGTAAGCAAGGAAATCTTGCCACATCCTATAGAGACAGACAATTAAAGCACCATGGAAGAAAGTTTTAGAAAAATTCAAAACCCAGCTGTTCCCATTTAGTCATCTACAGCGAGAGAAGGCAGTAAGTGCCAAGCTCCTTTGAAAGTCTGGGCTGATCTCCATAAGCTAATAATCAAAGCTATGCATATTAAAATTCTGCTAACACAACTGTTAACAACATCTTTTAGAATGTGGTTGTCGTAATAAACAAAGTTATTCAGTAATTTATGGGAAAAGTGAGAAGATCAAAACACTGATTTAATCCTTTGAGGCAGAGTGTTTCCATGATCTTACCACCAAGATCGTTAAATTATCTTCACAGTACATCTCTTTAAAACGGTAAGCAGCTTTGTTCTGCTAGCAGATTAAGACAGCACTAGAACAGCACAAAAATATGCCACCTGCAATTTGTCCTGCAGCTCCTTATTGTGCAATGTCAAAGAAGCAATTTTTGCTTGCATCAACAGAAGTAGATCTTGCTGGTCAGCTTCAGAACTCACATCCAATAAACTGTCAGCACCTTTGAAGGAAAAAAAAGATTCAAAAGCTTTTAAAAAGCTGAAATGCTAGCTAGTTAGTTATTCTAACCTTTCAAATTAAACAGTTTGTTCCCATGACCACTATGTGTAGCGAGCAAGGAAACTGTTCCTCGAAACTCCTTCCCCAAAAGTGTGTTAGATCACCCAACAGAAGCCACAGGTTTTGGTGGGGAGCTGCTAGTGAAATTACAGAACATCACTCCCAATACTTATAGTTTCTCAGATTCTAAGCGGAAAGGCACAGAGGATTTCTGACCAGATTTCAACATTTCACACCACCTGAAACACCTAACCAAATATGAAAATAAGGATTAAATGTTATTGTATACCTGTTGTGCTGTCACTCAGTCTGTCTTTATTATCTCGATGCAAGGAGCTGAATTCTTCATGCTGCGATAACA